ATGGCTTGGAATGGCTGGGGTGGCTGGCAACGCGGCTGGGGGGGAGGTGGGGGAGGCCGAGGAGGCTGGGAGAGAGAGGCATGGCAGTCCAACAGCTACTCCACAACAGCAGGCCGTGGGAAAGGAGGCTCCAAGAAAGGAGGGGGCAACAAGCCCTTCTGGAGGCAGTTCGTCGACCCGTCGGACGACCCCGAAGTGATCAAGTGGTGCCGGACGCGTATTCAGCAATTTCTGGACAGCGGGGAAACCACACAGGACGGATGTGCCGAAAGAGTTGTTGAGTTTGAGCTCTGATGCAGCCACCTGAGTAAAGACTTTGTCCCGCAAGAAGAAGGGTGTTGAGCAACAGCCAGTCGTCTTTCATTCCCTCCGCCTAATACTCAACCCCCCCTACCCCCCAAGAATACGCACCCCCCCATTATAGTTGTGTTGCAGCATATTGGGGGGGGGGTATGCAATATCCGGGGGGTAGGGGGGTGGGGGTGGAATATTCGGGAAGGGGTTAAGAGCCCCGAGTCCAAACATGGAACATTGCGCCCGGAAAGCAGGAGGTGGAGTGGCTGTCGACAACCTACAGGAACACCATCCGGAGCATGGCCAGTGAGATGGGTGCCAGCTGGCTAAAGGCGGGGTACGGTTCAAGTCTTCCAGAACTTCTAGCCGAAACGCCTGCTCATGTCATCAGAATCGTTTGATAAGAGGGGGGCGCAGCTGTGAAATTCCGTAAGCCTCAAGCCTTACATCGCAGGTGTCCAAGGGCGTCTACACCCTGGCGCGGCCTCAGAACCAGGGTTCCCGCAGCCTTGCGCAGCTGCGTAGTGAGCTCGTGGCCGCTGTGAAGCAGCCCCTTGACTGGTGGGGAGGGGGGCGCTTGGAGGAAGAGGGGGGGGAGTAGAGGGGTGGGGGGGGGGTTTAGGGCGGAGACTACCTCCACCTCAAACCCGAAAACGTCAACCGAGGTTCTGTGTTGACAGCGGGGGCCGCTGCAAGCCAAACTGGGCCCGCAACTCGCTGCCCACGGACCTCTGGGTTTCCGCCAACGCGGAGCTGAAGCTCAAGAACCTGAGCAACCTCCCTCAGGTTGCCCCCGAGGACAGAGGGGAATGCTTGTTTTTCCGGCCAAGACCCTGAACCGAGACTGAGCGAGGAAATCCCAAATCACGAAAGCTAGTAGTCGTTTACCATTCTATCTCCCCCACCCTCCCACCCTGAATTCATTGGTTCGAAGTAGTACGGCCTCCACCGTGGGATAAAAGGCAGAGGAGGGTAGCAGGCCCCCGCCACCTTTGGCAGGTAGATTGCTCACGTTCGTCCAGGACCTTCTTCAAGTTTCTGTGAGAAGCCTAATTACCCTCCGTGTAGGAATGGCGACGAGCTGGGATGTGTGCCGCCCAGTCAGGGCGGATGTTCTATCTGGCCGGGGCAGAAAGCGACGTCTACGACGATGCCTTCTTCGCGCAGTTCAATGCGTCTAGGCTGTGTTCAGGCAGTTCGGGTTCATGGGCTGAAAGCCGCCGTCCGAGTTTTTGCCTCCTGGCCCCCAGGGTTCCTAGTAATGGAACTGCCATGGGTTACTGCGGGCTACCGTGAATCTTCTCGGCCTGCGGGATGCTTTCAGGCTCTTCTGGAGAGGGAATGCAGGGCATTTCTTCGTAGTGAGGATGCCATGGTCGACCTTGTGGTATTGACGGCACTTTCCGGCTTTTCGTTCCCAGTGATCACGACCCCCCCGAACCTTCACGCGCAAGCCCTGTAACGCGGGAGATCCCTAGGCCGTGCACCTGCAAAACGCCTGCGGGTCCCTGGAGGCAGGGCTTCGCAAGCTGCCAAGGCCGGGGCTCGATCTTGGGACATCGGGGGTTTTGGGATGCAACTATTGGGATGGCTTAGGGGTTTGTTTCATCTAGGCCTATTTAGGGTCTTGCGAGCGCTCATGCGGTGGTTTTTTTTTGGTGAGCCAGGCACATTCGGAGGCCTTCCGAGATGCAGGGCTTGGACTTCCTGCAGCAGGCCTATGAGGACTTGAGGGTTGGGGTCCCTAGTCAGGTTGTCGATGCTTGCGTACTTTGAGGATGCCGAAGACTGCACTTTTAGGGTCCCAGCTAGCTGCTCTGGTAGAACAGTAGCTGGCGGCTAGCTGCAGAATTCGTTCGGTCGCGCTGAGTGCTCGAAACCGGGCGAGACGTCTTTTTGGGAAAAGCCTGCTGCAAGAAGACCCCCAAAGTCATCCTGGGCGCATCGAAGGCGGGGTGGGAAAGCGGGCTGTGAGGGGCCAGGTCGGAGGTTAAAGCCGCTTGTCGCAGAGGAAAGCGCGCAGGGAAAGCACAGCAAGGGCAGCACACTAAGGCTGAGCAGTCCAGCTTGCCAGTTTGTAGGTTAGCTTAGCTTAGGTGAATCTTAAAGTGCCCCCCCCCTGCTCATGCCTTTCCTGAACTCGCCGGCGTCCACGAGACATAGCCGTGAGATCCCAAGCCTCCCAAAGCCTGGGGGCCCCAAACCCCAAACCCCAAACCCCAACTAAACCCTAGGCTGGCAAAAACACCATCCTCCACCCTTCGAAACCCCAAACCCAACAATGCCCACGTCCCCCACACCAGGACATGGGCCCAGATGGCCTTGCAAAGGAGAAGCGCAACCCGGGCTACCAGAGCATGCTGCGAAGCGGAACAGCAGAGTTTTGCTGGCAATTTTGCTTGGTAGCTCCAATGCCTCTGAAAGCCCCCGAAACCCTAAGCCCTGAACCCGTAGTCCAAGTCTTGGGCACGGCTTTTTGTTCCGGAAAGATGTTCGAGTCCGAGCCTTAAACCCCTAATGACATCCCGGGCTTTCCTGAAGCAGGCTGTTTCTCGCTTGTCTGCTTATGCTCCTCTTCTCCGGTCTCGCCTTTGTTCTGCTGCTGTCTCCTCCCTCGTGCTCTCTCGTGCGTCGCGCTCTGTGCCGTTCCCCTGATCGGTCCTCTCGTCGGTCCCTCCTCGGCTCCTGCGTCCATGCTGCACCTGCGCCTCCCCTGGTCTGCTCTTGTGGGTCATCGCGCTCTCTGCCAACTCCGTGCTGGAACGGTGCACCTTTCTCACATCGATGGCCACCACTCTCGGCTGCCAAGGCAACGTGATGCTCTGTGGGAAGAAGACCTATGCACCTTGCACGTGTTCGGAGAGTGCTTCGCAAGCCTCTCTCCAGGCCTGACCCCGGTCCGAACCTTGTGCCCAGGAACCCCTCCCGAGTCCGGCTGTCTCGTGTGAGGAAGGTGATGGTGCTCCACACCCTGGATCGCGCCTACGTGTGTTTGGGGCAGGGTTTTTCCCGACAATCCCCTCTGGACGATCCCCTCTGCGCACCGCTAATTCCGCTAATTCAGTGTGGGCTGCTGCTCCCTTTGCTCCACTACCCTCCATCTGTCCGTGTAGGGCCGACACGTGTCCCTCTCTGACGATTTGTGGGTGCCGGGTCAGGATCTATCTGCAGAGGAACTGCCCGCTCCGCGCAACACCGCCACCACCTAAGCCCTAAGCCTAACTAAACCCTAAACCGCGGCCAACACCATGAACCCTACACCGTAAACCCCAAACCCCAACCATGAACCCTAAATAAGGTTCTAAGTCATAACCATCGTTCCCTTACTTATATTATAACCCTACTTGTAAGAACCGCAATGAACTTCCAGGCTGCCAGCAAGGCAGCGGCTCCCGGCCTTTCAGATGGCCCAAGCCATCTGCCAGGGGGTGCGCGCGTCGCAGGCGCCTTAAGGGATTTACCCAGGGGGCTTAAGTTGAGGGGGGTTGAAAAGGGACTTAAGGCTTAGGAAACCCGACCGCGGAAACTGGGATCTCAGTTGTCGATGTTGCTTGAGCTGAGTTCGGGAAGTAGGGATTTGTCCAGATGTAAAAAGGCTTCTGCCTAGTGAGGGGATGTAAGGAGTTCCAGATGCAAGCTTAGGGCCTGCTCGACAAGTGCATGTGCGCCTCGCTTGCGCGTGCGTCAGCATCCGCTGTTCGTTGTAGGAAGCAGACCTGCAACTGCAGAGCCTCCCGGTCCCTCAAAAAGAAACAAAACTGTGGTCGCGTCCTTCGCGCGTCCTGTGCCCCCTAAGCTTATACCCGAAGCCGCTGCGCAGGTGACGCTGGTGCTGGGAGCCACGGGTTGCGGAAAGAGCACGCAGGCGCCATGGAGATATCGCTCCGGTCCTGTTTTTTTCCGTTGCCCCGATCTAGCAAGTTGACACACCCTTGCAACTTTAAACCCTGCTTGGAGGTTCATTGGTACTTGCAAGTAGGGTTATAAGCTGGCTATAACCTTATTCAAGGGAGCCAGAAAAGGGCTTAAACCCCAGGTCCCGCAGTCGATCCTCGAAGACTGCGCCGAGCGTGGGGAGCCCTGCCGCGTGGTGGCGACGCAGCCGCGCCGGATTTCGGCCATGTGCGGAGGGAGGAAATTTGCTGCGCTTCCAGGGCATGCAGGGTTTTTGGTCTTTGGGGTTTCGGGATTACGCGATCCCCAAAATGGAAGATTTGCTTTTTGCTTGGGGATCGCAGTAAAATGGTAACCCCTAAGCCCGAAACCCTAAACCTTAAACCCCTGCGCCTGGGTGGCAGGTCGGTGGCCGATCGGGTTGCATCGGAGCGGGGGGGAAAGCTCGGCGACACGGTGGCTTACAAGATCCGGTTCGAGGACAGTCAAAAGCCCCAAGCAAGAAACAAACGCCTCCCATGAGGGCTGACCCTAAAGCCCTAAAGCCCTAAAGCCCTAAAGCCCTAAAGCCCTAAAGCCCTAAAGCCCTAAAGCCCTAAAGCCCTAAAGCCCTAAAGCCCTAAAGCCCTAAAGCCCTAAAGCCCTAATCCCGAAACCCTAAACTGCTAGGCTGTAGGGAATTGGGGAAGTTCTTTAGCCGCGGGGGCTTGGAGTCGCTTCCAGGACACCGTCACCTCCTCGACGCAAGTCGTGTTTTGCACGGTGGGCATCCTCCTCAAGGTGATGCAGCTCAACCCTGGGCTTCAAGGCCGAGTTTAGGGTTTGTAGGGTTTGATTAGGGTTTCAAGGTTGGGGTTTTAGGGTTTGGGGTTTCAAGTTTAGGGTTTGGGGGTACCAGGGTTGCAAGAAAGGTCTGCATGGCTTCGTCGCAAGTTCTTTGCAAAGCCGGGGGCGCCGGAAGCATTGATTGATAAGACTGGCACTAACACGGACGCTCATAGACACTTCTCAAGGCAACGGAGGACGCTCCGCGTTGCAACTGGCGATGCCAGGTCGTCCTGAATCGTCCCCACTCATCTCATCGCGTTGCTTTGTTCATGCTCCATCTTTGTTAGAGTACTCGAGGGCGGATTCAGACTGTCGCTTGTCCCTACGAGTGCGCCTCGGAGTGTGCATGGTGTGCACGGTGCACTGCCTGGGCGGCCTTGTGCAGGTGCCACGCACATCATCGTGGACGAGGTGCACGAGAGAGACCTGCACACGGACTTCCTGCTGACGCTACTGCGCAGGGTGCTGAACCAAAGGGCGGACCTCAAGGTTATCCTCATGTCGGCAACGGTAGACCCCTCGGCCTTCCAGGGGTACTTTGAGGGCACCTGAGCTGCAGCTGACCATTTGGGCCTTTCTCCCAAGATAGGGGTTCCCTTTCATTGCATACACCAAAGAAGTACAATCCCTTGTATGGCAACCTTGAGAAGCCGACCCCTCATTTTTGCCCTCAGCCTGCCCAGGCATCCAAACCGTGAGCATCCCGGGGAAGACGAACTACCCCATTCAAGAGCTCTTCCTGGACTGGTCTTGGCTGAGTTGCGCACTGTTTTTTCAATGGATACATCGCAAATAAGGATAGCGGCAAAGCAAGTTAAGATGTGCACACACACAAACCAAGCATGAATATGAAGCGACAACAGTTGCAAGAGGAATATCGACTTTCTGCATTCAGGTCTAAGTATGTGCCTTTGCCTTGTTGAGTTCACGAGCTCTGGGCCCCCCTTGGAAGAGTTCAAGGTAAACCCTAAACTCTAAACTCTAAACTCTAAACCCTAAACCCTGAACCCTAAACCCTAAACCCAAAGCCCTAAGCCCTAAACCCAAAGCTAGATTTCTCTGCAGAGGAAGACCTGCTGCCGCAGCTCCCTAGGCGGAGCCGCGAGGCGAGGTTGTGAAGGTTGCGGGCTCTTAGCAGGGAGTTCGGGTTTAGGGTTTAGGGTTTATAAGGGTTTAGGTTAGTAGGGTTTCGGGTTTAGGTCCCCTACAAGGTTAGATAAGGGGTTTTAGGGTGGGTGCTTGCTTCCTGAAATCCTCAAGGTTGGGGTTGCCTTGACGCATCGCGGAGGCGTGGCGGGATGCTCGAAGCCAACAGTGGAGCAAGGCCCCGTTGTCCCTTGAGGCATTCTTCACGGGTATGTTTTGGGGTGAAGCTTGGGGTTCAGGGAAGAGAGCTGCCACTTAAAAAGTAGGGAGGAATGAGTGCATTTGGCAGTGTGGCCTGACGCCTTGCCCATTTGATCACCTACACCACCCCTCGGAGCCCACTAGCACGCGTGGTTGAAGAAGGCAACCCCCAAGCAAACCCAAACGCGCCAAGCCTCCGTCTGCTTTGGGAGGCCTCAGCTTTCGCTGTGGGCCCGCTTGAGGGCGTACCCCAGGGCGCCGATGCCGTGCGGGCAGCCCTGCCTCACGTGGCAGAGGACGTCCCAGCTCTGCTTTCGGAGGCTTTAGGAGACAGAGACAGAGACAGACAGAGACAGAGACAAAGACAGAGACAGAGACAGAGACGGAGACAGAGACAGAGACACAGAGACAGAGACGCGGAGACGGAGACGCGGAGACTGAGACAGAGACATAGAGAGTTTGAGAGACACAGACAGGGACAGCATTCCGCGTCTGCGGCTGCTGCTTGTTTTGGTGTCTTGGCGGGGTGAGTTGGTTGCGCCATCTAATGAGTCAGGACGTTGTCTGGGACATAGCCACCGTGCATGAAGAGCTGGCGCAGAGTATCGACTACGACTTGACAGCCGCGCTCGTGCAGGCAATCCACGATTCGGGTGAGGATGGAGGCATTCTCATCTTCATGCCGGGTTGGTTCGAGATCACCCAAACCATGGAGAGGCTTCAGAGTTGCCGCTGTAGACAACAGCTGGCAATACACCCTCTGCATTCGCGCATCCCGACTTGGGAGCAGCGGGCCATTTTTCGGCCTGCCCAGGCGGGCAAGCGGAAGGTCGTAGTCTCGACAGTCCTGGCAGAGACATCCATTACCGTGGAGGATATTGTGTACGTCATCGATCCGGGCCGTGCGCGGACGACATTCTTCAACGAGACGTCCATGATCTCTGCCCTCCGGACGGTGTGGTACTCCAAGGCGAATGGCTTTCAGCGACGGGGCCGGGCTGGGCGTTGCCAGCCAGGCGTGTGGTATCGGCTCTTCAGCTCTTGCCAGTGGGAGGCCATGGAGGAGTATGCCTTACCGGAGCTTCAGCGCTCCCCGCTGGAGGAGCTCTGCATGGAGGTTGCGTCACTCAACCTCGGCCCCCCTGCAAGCTTCCTGCAAGAGGCCATCAGCCCCCCGAAAGAGGAGGTGGTCTCCCATGCTCTGAAGCTGCTACACGGCCTCGGTGCCGTGACGGACCTGACAGGGGAGACCTTAACACCCTTGGGCACTGCACTGGCAAAGATACAAGTGCACCCAATGCTTGCAAAGATGCTGCTGCTGGCCGTGCCTTTCCGGTGCTTCCACATGATGATCACCATCTGCGCCTCTCTGGGCTACAAGTCGCCCTTCCTCTGCCCCATGGGCCTCGAGAGGGAGGCCAACCAGGCCAAAGCCAACCTGGCCCAGGAGTCGAAGTCCGACCTCATCGCCCTGGTCAACGCCGCGTGGCACGGATGGATGCCGGGTTTCCTCCATCATCCTAGCACCCAGCTCTAGGCCCCAAAGAAAAAACATGAGCCTCAACTTCTTGAAGCCAGAAACCCTAAACCCTAAACCCTAAACCCTAAACCCTAAACCCTAAACCCTAAACCCTAAACCCTAAACCCTAAACCCTAAACCCTAAATCCCAAGAACACCAGCCTGTCCTCCGAGGCCTACCAGGGCTGGAAGCGCGGTCGAGCCAGCTTCGCCCGCCAGAACCTCGAGCTGCCAGTGGTGGCCCTTTTCTCCTTGTCGCTGCTTAAGGGTTTAGGGTTTAGGGTTTAGGGATGTCCTTAGTCGGGATGAACATAGGGGGTACTCTGTTCCTTATGAAGGACTGTTAGTCTAAGGGGGAGCATCCCAAGACTAGGCTCAAGTCGGAGCCCAATGAAAGAGGAAGGGACGCCCTCCGCATTCCCATAGTCAGTGGGGCACCCAGGAACTTCCTCTCCAACGAGACGATGGACCCGTGATCCTTCGCCGGGGTTTGCTGCGTTTGTGAGAGTTCAGGGCGCTTAATTTCAGGGGCTTTTGAGGGACCCGGGATGTTCCCTGAACCCTAAACCCTAAACCCTAAACCCTAAACCCTAAACCCTAAACCCTAAACCCTAAACCCTAATCCCAAACCCGAAACCCTGTGTGTCTTGGGGGTGGGAGCGCTCGGTGGGGGTCCACGATGAGGGTTTCGGGGGACAGGACTACATCGACCGCCTGCGCGAGGACTTGCTGGCCGCCACCAGGGAGGTGCTTCGAAATGTGCCCGAGGTGAGGCCCCTAGGGTTTAGGGTTTAGGGTTTAGGGTTTAGGGGAAAAAGGGGTTTAGGGTTTAGGGATTAGATTAAGAATACACCCACGTTCCCATGTACCATAATATAACTTTCATGGGAGTATTCAAAATTTTGGGGGGTAGGGGCAGGGGGAGGGGGGAGGGGATGATTGGTTTTCTCGGAATGTTTTGTCAGGTCTGTGTTTCATGCCAGCCCACGAAGGACCACACGGACCCGACGGTCTTGGCAGACTCCTGCAAAGCTGTGCTGACTGCCGGCCTCTATCCCAACGTTGCCTTCATCCGTCGAAGGGGCAAGGGCCACACCATCCAGGGCTTGCCAGTGGTGGTCCACCCAGGCGGCTTGGAAGTAAGTCGGTAGAGTCGGAGGTGTAGCAGAAAAGGCTCCCATTCAAAGAGTTGGCCCCGCCCTGAACCTAGACCTCGCCCCCAAACCCACCACGGACCACAGGGGTAAACTAATGTGCTCGTGTCATCTCTTCGTGTTGTGTTTTTGTGTGCCGTGCTTCGTGCCGTGTCCTCAATTTTTTTCGTGAGGTCGTGTTCGTGTCGTGTCTTTAGTCTTGGTGCCGCATCTTTGTGTCGTGTCTTCCTTTCGTGTCGTGTCTTTGTGTCATGTCCTCATGTCGTGTCCTCGTGTCGTGTCCTCGGCTCGTGTCCTCGGCTGTGTCTTCGTGTCGTGTCATCGCCTTGGTGGCGGGTCCTCGTCCTCGTCTTGTTTGCGGGTCGTGTCTTCGTGTCGTGTCTTCCTTGCCGAAGCTTGTGACCCAAGTCCGCATCAGGGCTTGTGGCTCCTATCAGGTTGATTGGATACTTGGCCATGAGCCCATACAGCTGCGAGCCACGTTTGATCTCAGGCAGTGTGAACTCCAAGGAGCAGTGGACCCAAGTTGCTTTCTACGATATCCAAGAAACCACCGATCGGTTCATGTACGACACGACTGTGGTGGGCCTCGCGCCCCTGCTGCTCTTCGCGCCTGTCTTGAAACTTGGGGGCCGTTCTTGAGATATGTTGTTTACAGAGCAGCCGTCTTCGGTCTCGTAGGACCTGGGTCGGTATGCGTCAGTTCGCGGCACAAACCTAGGAAAGAAGTCCACAGGGGAGTCCGCGTGGTCTTCGAGCTCCCGGCCGAGACGAGCCCAACGCATGTCGCGGTCGACGTGAAGGTGGCCGACGCGCTGCTGGCACTGCGAGATCTCGTGGCGACTTTCGTGGACCGCTCGGTGGGAGCCACTCCCACACCGGCGATGCTCGGCATGGCCCTGGAGTTGAGCCAGCTCTTTGCTGAGAAGGCGGGCCGCTCACGACGTACCGTCCTCAGTGATGTTTCCATTTCGGGTGACAGTCAGATTTCTCAAGCACTGTCAGGTGGACACTCTGGGTGGCGACGACGAGGAAGGGGAAGACTCTGCCAGGGGCGAAGGCAGTACGCGGAATGCCTGGAACGGCGAAGAGGAAGCGGAGGCGGAGGTTGAGGTGGAGGTGGAAGTGCTGGATGCTTGGGATTCCGACGAGGTGGGGTGGGGGGGGGGGGTGGTCTCTCAAAATCAGTGCCATGTCGGGTCAAGCACACCCGCCGCCGAGGTTCCCGAACCATGCGCCAAGTCCTCGAAAAGATGAGCCAAGCTGCCGGGAAAAAACTCCGGCGGAGAACAGTGTCATGCAGTGTTAGGTTGCAGAGGTTTGGGGCTTAGGGTTTAGGGTTTAGGGCTTAGTTTAGGGTTTAGGTTTCTGGGATGTTCTGGGAACCATGCCGAAGGTCATGGTGTAGGAGCCTTGAGGGCCTCAAGGGCTTGCGGGACCCGGGTGTGGCCCGAACCCCCGCTAGGACGGGTCACAAAAAAAATCCCGATAAAAAAAAAAAAAACAAATCCCTAGAAGGTTCTTCCGAATGAGCCGGTCCCCTGCAACCCTCCCAGGTCCTTGACCAATCCTGGCGACCGACCGGCACTCAGAACTGGTCGCGTGGAACCCTCTAACCCGTACCCTGTATAAAATGTGTAGATTGTGTAGTACTACTACTGCTACTACTACTACTACTACTACTACTACTACTACTACTACTACTACTACTACTACTACTAGTAGGTTCTCGGAATTAGGGTCCCTTTTTCAGTCCTTCTTATCAGGCTGCCGTCTAGGGACTACTCAAATAGACGCGCATTTGGGAGCTGCCCTGCTGTGGAATTTCTGAGAACAACGGCTACTCCGAGCCCACAGTCGAAGCCCTAAACCCTAAACCCTAAACCCTAAACCCTAAACCCTAAACCCTAAACCCTAAACCCTAAACCCTAAACCCTAAACCCTAAACCCTAAACCCTAAACCCTAAACCCTAAACCCTAAACCCTAAACCCTAAACCCTCGTTTAGTCCCGAAATGTTACCCTGCGGTGCGGCTGGAACTGCTGGGCGGGTGGCAAAAACAACCCTAAACGAGCGTGCCAAACCCTAAGCCCGAAACCCTAACCCACACCTTTGGAAGCCATCAGCTACCAGGTAGGACAAGGGGCACCCTCAAAAGGGAACCCCTTCTGAACCCTTTTGTGGCTCTCTTAAACAGGGACCTTACTCAGAGGGTCTATATCCCCAAGGGTCCCCCTAAACCCTAAACCCTAAACCCTAAACCCTAAACCCTAAACCCTAAACCCTAAACCCTAAACCCTAAACCCTAAACCCTAAACCCTAAACCCTGAACCCTGAACCCTGAACCCTGAAGCCTGAACCCTGAACCCTGAACCCTGAACCCTGAACCCTGAACCCTGAACCCTAAACCCTAAACCCTAAACCCTTAACCCAAAACCCTAAACCCTAAACCCTAGCCATCAGCCCTGCTTCAAGAAGGCTGGTACGTGCGCCTCGGGAAGCGCTGCGCCCAGGAAGGCTCAGCTGGGCTGTCATCAAAGAAGGTTTCGGGTTTAGGGTTTATGTTTAGGGTTAAGGGTTTCGGGTTTAGGGTTTAGGGTTAAGGGTTAAGGGTTTCGGGTTTAGGGTTTCGGGTTTAGGGTTTTGGGTTTCGGGTTTAGGGTTCAGGGTTTCGGGTTCAGGGTTTAGGGTTTAGGATCGCCGAGACATTGCGTGCACCCGCATCACTTGTCTCTCTGTTGCATGACCGTTTGATCTTGCTGCTTCTTGTTAATGATGCATGCCCTTCTTCTCATTGTTGTTGTCGTCATTATCATCGTCGTTGATGTTGATGTTGCTGTTGCTATTGCTGCTATTGCTATGGTTGTTCTTCATGTTGCTCTGTTGCATCTGCTCTTGTTTTTGTGATCCTGATACTGTTACGAAGACCCGGGTCGCCCGGGCTGTGCCTATGCCCACGATTGGTGCTTCTTACTGTACCGGGTTGCCCGCGGTCAAGAGAGAATAGAGAGAGGGGTGAACACTTTGAGGGCTTTCGCCTTGGCACTCTCGCAGTTGCTGTACCCTGGAGTAGCACAACACACTGCGCAGGCAGGTGGGCATTTTGTAAGCGCCCAACTCCGAGTTTGCCAGTGCTGACAGTCGAAAGGATCTAGAGTTTGGGGGCAACGCGTTGGGGCCCTAGGGCTTCTGGGGCATCAAACCAAGTGCCTCATTGAGCTGGTTTGGGTCGATCCAAGACGTCGTTGTGAAGGTCTGCTCATGAGCGGCAGCGACGACCAGTGCCTCAAGCACCCTGAGAGGGACGGCTTCGCTGGGCCCGGGAGCTCGGCGTTGGGGAGAATCTGCTCAGATGGTACAGGAAGCACGCCCCTGCAGTTACACTTAGGAGGATTGTTTTTGGTGTGGGGAGTGTGGAACGCTGCCGTGTCTAGACTTGGGCTGCTGCTGCTGCTGCTGCTGCTGCTGCTGCTGCTGCTGCTGCTGCTGCTGCTGCTGATGCTGCTGCCCGAACGAAACAATCGAAACCTTGACTCAAACACCCAAATCCCAAAACCAATCGCGCGCCACTCGGGCTCCGCACACGAGCAATCAGGGAAATGGAAGGTCAACTCAAACACTTGCAGCAACTTCCCTCTTTGTGAAGTCCACCGTGCAGGGGAAAAGCCAAACGAGGTCTCCCCAAAGCCTAAAGCATAAGTTCTCGAAATATCGTTCATTTTTGGGGGCCTGAAAGGGGAGGACACATTTGAGAGCTGAGCGCTTGCCACATACGGCGTCCAACGAAGCCCTGAACCGTTGGTCTGCGAACTCGTCGCAAATTCAGAGCGCGATGGACCCAGCCAAAGCGCTTCCTGTGTTCGACGTCGACCTGGATGCGGACTTTCTGGGGTTTAGGGGTTTAGGGTTCTGGGGTTTTCTGGCAAAAAGGTTCGGGGGGTAGAGTTCAGGGTTGGCAGCTGCGCAGTCGTTCACAGGGTAGTTAGGATTTACGGTCGAGGTTCATACAGGGTTTTGCGGAGGTTGGGGCTTTAAGGCCCTGAGCCTCCAAACCGACCTACAACCCCCAAGCCTCAAGCCCACACATGCGGGTTTCGGGCTTAGGGCTCCAGTTCCTCGAGCTGTAAACGAAACCCCTAAACCCATGGTCCTAAGAAACGACTTGTCGGTGGCCTTAGGAGCGATTTCCCCTTTGTTGGTTTCTAGTTGGTTGGGCACGGAAGACAGAAGTAGAAGCATACTGTCACAAAGGTGTAGAGATAGCGCTACAGCGAACTAGCGCAGTGATGCGGCCTGCTGGGGGGGTTGGTCGTGTTGGTAGGCAATCCTTGCCTGCCCCTTGCAAGTGTGCGAGGCAAAAGCCATTGCGCGCTCAAGTCAGTTAGGCGGGTGGCAAAAGCATGGAAACAGCGTCGAAACCTCAAATCCGAAGCCTTGCAGGACCCTGTCGAGCGCTGGCGAGCAGTGGCAGAGGCCTTGCACTGTTTGTTTTCTTGAGTTTTCGGGGTTGATCGAGGTTTGTAAGGTTTTTTGTTTCATGGAAAAGATGCCCGTTTCGCCAGACTCAGTTTTTGAAAGGTTTTGTTGTGCAGATGGACTCCCATCAGTTGCGTGCAAGAGCCATGGCTGCAGCTCACATGTTGAGAGCGACATGTGAGCACTTAGCATCACTGAGCAAGTGCTGTGCAGCGGCCAGGCTTATGCCCCCGCGCTGCAGAAGCTAGCCGTTGCTTGGGATAATGTTCTGTCACTAGGGACCCACGCTAAAGGGTGCCACTTCGAGAAGTGCAACATAGGGCTCGCCCTCGTGGTCCCTATATAGTTCTCCTATATGTCCCCAAAACCCTATTCTAGTTGTTAAGGCCCCTATAGTATCATGAGCTAGTTGCTGCAGGAATGGCTCGTCGCTTTCGCACCCTTAACACTCCCCTGCAGTGTGGTTTATCCAGCTCTGCGGGCGCGATCTAAGAACCCTCTCCCTAAACCCTGAGCGTCGACACCCTGAACCCTGCGGCTCTGCTCCCAGCAAGAAAAGAGCTTGCGCATGGCTTCCTTCTTCTTCTCCTCCTTCTTCTTCTTCTTCTCCTTCTTGTTCTTCTTTTTTTTTTTCTTCTTCTTCTTCTTCTTTTTCTTCGTTTTCTTGTTCTTCTTCTTTTTCTTCTTCTTCTTCTTCTTCTCGCATTGTTTCTTTTATTCCCAAAGTCCTGAACCGTAAGCCATCCAAGCCCAGGAGTGGCAGCAGACGCTGGCCGAGGCCCCGCCGGCTCGCCGAAAGGGTCGGCGGAAGCGCAAGGAGCGACCAGCGAGAGGGGGGGGGGTGGGGGGTTGGGGTTTGGGGTTTGGGGTTTAGGGTTGAGGGTTGAGGGTTGAGGGTTGAGGGTTGAGGGTTTCGGGTTTCGGCGGGCTGGCGCTGAAAAGCCCCCCGTGCTGGAGCTTTCGAGAGCAGATTGAGCTCGACAAATGCGCCAAAACCTCAAAGCCAGATTGGAAGCCTTTGGCTCGGTTTAGGGTTTAGGGTTTAGGGTTTAGTGTTTAGGGTTTAGGGTTTAGGGTTTAGGGTTGCAGCTTGTTATAGGGGCTCTGGTGGCTCAGGGCCGTACTACCCCCAAAACCCTACATGGGATAGGGTTTTAGGGTTTAGGGTTCAGGGTTCAGGGTTTAGGTTTCAGGGTTTAGGGACAAGGGTTTTGGGGTTTTGGGGTTTTAGGGCTCTAGGGTTTCAGCGTTTAAGGGTTTTAAAGTTTTAGGGTTTTGGGGTTTTAGGGTTTTGGGTTTAGGGTCCCAGAACTTGCCCCTAAAACCGAAGATGGATCTGTAGAGCTAATGGCGTTGAGAAGTCTGGACTACGGAAGGCGACGCTCTCCAGGGCAGAGATCTCTCTGCGGCATCAAAGCAGGTTTGCGGGTTCAGGGTTCAGAGTTCCGGGTTTATTTTTTTAGTGGCACAGTGTGTGGGGTTGAGGGTTTAGGGGGCTTTCTGCAAGACCGGAAAGAATCCGTACACAGCTCCGAACGGCACTCTTATGGCGAGACTGGGCTATTCGGATGAGGTGTGTGGGCAGCTCACTTCATTATGGTCCCTTCTAGATTTCCGTCCGTCCTTATCATACAGAGCCGTATATGTAGGGCATGTGGTTTCTGTTTTTTTTCTTGGTTCCACCCTGTGGGGCTCGCTTTAACCGTGTTGATGCACACAGGTGCCACGACTATTCTGTGAAGGAGGGCCAGTAACTAGCTCTACAGGCACCGGTTGCTACCGGTGCCTTCGGGCATAGCTGTTCCGCTTACACCGGCAACATCCTAACTTTTGGTGCGATGGTGGGAGCAGTGCTAGTGCTGCGGCTACTTGGAGGTTCATGGGGTAGTCACAAGCAGGGCTAGAAGTACCCTAAACAAGGTTACAGCCAGTTATAGTTACAGTTACCCTCCGTAAAACCCCACATCTCACTACCCATGAACCTTCAAGTAGGCAGGTTTAGGGTTCAGGGTTTACGGTTCAGGGTTTAGGGTTTAGGGTTTAGGGTGGGTGGCCAAAAACATGCAAAAAGCCACCCTGGCAGGAGGACCCCGAGCGGCGCATCGCGCGCTACGCCGCCTCCGAAGCGCTGCGACTTCTGCAGCAGAGCCCTTTCGCTGCCTCGAGGGTCCCACTTGGAGGTTCATGGGTAGTGGGGGGGTAGCGAAGGTATGAGCATAAAATAAACATGCACATATACACACATATGTATATATATATATATATATATATGTGTGTGTGTGTGTGTGTGTGTGTGTGTGTGTGTGTGTGTGTGTGTGTGTGTGTATGTACATATACTTTTGGTACCCCTCTTGCTTTCCCTCTGTTTAGGTAAGTTTAGGCTGCTCGCCCTCGTCTCGAAACGTCTTGAGCTCAAGACGCCGAAGACTTGAGCTCAAGACGCTTCAAGTTGAGATGGGCAACGGGAGATTCAGGCAACAGTTTCCACGGAACCCTCAATTTTGAAACCTCGGTTCGGCGTCTTGAGCTCAAGACATTTCAAGACATGTCAGGAGCTTGTCTTGAACTGTCTTGAAAGCGTCTTGAGCTCAAGACGCCAAATCGAAGCTCGAAGATCTTCAGGATCTGGTCAGACTCTCGGATGGAATCTTCGGTTGGCCGTCGTTATCTGGAAACGTCTTGCAACGTCTTGAGCTGAAGATGCCGAACGCGAAGCCGAAGATTCCATGGGCAAGTCTCTAAGAATCTTCGGCCTTGCGTCTTCGATGTGGCAACCCATTAACCACCAGTAAACCATTAAACAATGAAACCGTGAAGCCATCAACCATGAAAACCATCTGACAGTTACGAGGAGGAGGCAAGGGGGGGGGTGGTTTCGTAACTGTCCTTACTTTAGGAGCTTCGTGTGGTGTTGAAGCCTGGAAAGTGATGACGGTTACGGGCGAGGATGAGGCTTTGTCCTTGGAAGGGTTACAGATGAGGAAGCAACTACTGCATATAAGGGTGGGGTTTAGATGTTTCAGTTTTGCAAAAGAGGGCATTTTCCAGGGCTCTCAGGGGTCAAAGCACCACGCTTTATTCAGGACGGGCCCGCTTTGTGCACAATGAGTATCACTACCCGATTTGCTTTTTCCCTCGTAAGGTTTGGCTGAGGGCACCTGGAGACATCTGTTTGCCGCTTCCTTCGGGGTACAGGACCGTCAGCCCTGAGCCGGACAGCATGACCCCACGAAGCCCAGAGCAAGCGCCATGAACGCCGAGGTGAAGGCAGCGTGCTCAGTGAGTTGCTCGGCTGCGGTGAACCGGGGATGGGGTTGGGTCCGAGGTTTTTAGGGCTTTGTTTGGGTGCCTCTGGGAGGTTTGGGGTTCTGGTGGGTGGTGGCTTGGCCAACGGAGCCCGCATGCGCCCTGCCAGGTCTACGGCAGAGTGAACACAGCTGCCGCCAGACCATATGTGGAGCGTTCCCCAGTGGAGCATAAGCAGTCAGCCCCGAGTCTACACAGGAGTCAGAGAAACAACTGCATGGCAGCCAGGCGGACCGAGAGAAAATGTAAGAATCTTCCACCCTAACCCCTAACCTACTTTTTCAATAGGTTATTCACTTTATACGACAACTCCTTCAGCTTCATGCAAACAAAGAAAATTTCCTTTCACCCGAAGCACGGAGCCCCAACCCCCAACCCCCAGACCTCAAAACCTAAACCCTTGTGTACCCTGCTTTGCTGATTGGCGACGCGCTGCGCTGCACTGAGCATGTATGATAAGTGTAAACCGATCTTGTAGGAACATCCGAAGCGTGACATCCTGTCACTGCACCTTGCTGGCAAGAGAGAGTCGCAAGCTCCCAAAGCTCTAAACCCTTAAACCCCCAAACCCTACAACCAACTTGGGAGAGTCGAAACCCTATAACCCCCAAACCCTACACCGCACCCTACATCACCCCCCAAAAAGAAAAACAACGTTAAATCCCCAAAACCCAAACCTTCCAAACCCAGCAACCCCCCCCCCCCCCCAAAAAAAAAAAAAACAGACAAGAAGAAAAAAAATAAGAGAGAGAGAGAGAGAGAGAGAGAGCGAGAGAGCGAGAGAGAGAAACAACAATCTTAGCGGCCGAAGAAGAAAAACAAGAAGAATAAAAACAAGAATAATAAAAAGAAGAAGAAAAAAACCCTTAGGTCACCAAACTCCCAGGTTTCTGGCCGAGCTCCAGGGAGTCGCCTCCGCGGCGGCGGTGCCTCTCCAGGCCCTGGCCAGCCTCACGCTGCAGTACGAGGCCTCTATAGGGTTCTCTTTAGTGGGGGTTTAGGGTTTAGGGTTTTTAGGGTTTGTAGGGTTTTTAGGGTTTTTAGGGTTTTTAGGGTTTTTAGGGTTTTACTGTTTTTAGGGCTTTAGGGTTTTTAGGGTTTTTAGGGTTTTTAGGGTTTTTAGGGTTTTTAGGGTTTTTAGGGTTTTTAGGGTTTTTAGGGTTTCTAGCCCTAGATTCCCTAATACCCCTCACTGCTAGGTACCTACCCCCCATGAGTCCCCCCCTCCCTAAAAGAACCCTATAAGACAAGAAGGGGGGGGGGGGAGTTGAGGGTCAAAAGGGTTCAAAAGCAGTTGAGGGTTCAGGTTTCAACGGGGTTTAGGGTTTAGGTTCATGTTTTATTTTGTTTTTTTCAGGCGGGAGGCGTTGGGACTTTGTCGGTTTTTTTGGCTCAAAGGGGTTGAGGGTTGAGGGGTGGAGGGGTTTGGGGGCTCAGAGGGCAGAAGGGGGCCGGCCGGGTCTTGATGCAGATGGGATTGTGCCAGGGTTTCATCAAAAGCGTGGGGATGGAGTCATTTAAAGTCCAAATTTCCAGCAGTTTAATGGATCTGGGCTGTGTAAGCAGAGGCAAAGTAAGAGGTGCCGAGCAGTGTCGAAAAGCACCGCTGGGACATGCCCGGTATCCGCAGGGCTGTAACATGGGGACCTGGTCAAGGGCCTTTCTGAGGACCTGAAGGTACAAGGGTAGTTATAAGTGGGGTTAGGGGGGCCCTAAATAGGGTTATCACCATAGTTCCCCTGCTTATGAACCCACTCACAACTGAACCTTCAAGGAGTGCACCTCAGTACACGATGTTTGTGCCACGACAGCCCCGAAGATTACGCCCTGGACGCCCGACACTTTACCACTCCTGGCAGTCTCAAAGGCATCTCACCCAGCAGTGGCTAGAGCTTCGGGGGAATGGCACCGCGACTGGGGAAGACGGAGAGGGGGGGGCATCATGTACACAAACAGCACGGTCAATCTGGTCCCCCTGGCACTTCCAAGCAGTGCAATCCCAACACTGCTCCGAACTCAAGCAGTGAGGCCCCCCTGTTTCCGAAACCCCAAACTGGGCTTTGCCGTTTTGACAGGCCTACTGTGCTTGCACGGCGCTTGCCGCACGTCTATCTGATGGCTCAGTTGCGCTGGCCCGTTTCTTGGCCGAGGCTGGCTGGCTTGTCGACTTGAGGTAGATGAAATTCTCTGGGGCGTAGTGGCTTGTTACATACAAGGGGCAGCACGCGCTGGACAAAATCCAGCAAACCCAAGCAGAAACTCATGCAACAGGTAGGAGCAGGTGCGAGTAGTTATTAATGTCTGCCAAAGCGACCGTATAACATCCTCGGTTGACTGCGGGGATAGTCAGGGATGGTCAACAGAGGCCTTTTGATGTAGCAGTCAGAGAGTCGGTCAGCTAAGACCTGTTGACGTAGGAGTTTGCATCACCGCGGTGCGGCTGTGAGAGGCCCCTAGGCATGCGCCAGCAAAGCCCCTAAGCAAACTGCGCCAGCGCTGGCTTGGATTTGATTCATGCTTCTCTTCGGTTTTCCGAATGGATCAATCATATCATAACACAACACAACCGATGATCATCGTAAGATGCCGGGAAGGGGATTACACCCCCCGGCAGAGCCGCAGAGGTTCGTGGTTAACCAGAATTCCGGGAGCTAACCCCAAACCATTCAGAGTTTGTACAGGCTGTACAGGGGTCCGGTATGTCCAGGACCCCCTAAGCCCTAAACCCTAAAACCCTAGACCCTACACCCCAAACCCTAAACTGCCCTAAACCTCCCCACAGAATCCCAAACGCCTGCGACACCTTCGCCACACCTTGGTCTTAGGCACCTTGGATTGGGAGTTCCCGGAGCTCAAGGCCAGCTTCGCTACCTACCCATCCCCCGATGTCACCAGCGGGGTATTTAGGGGTCCCTTATCATCGCTAAGAAGCTGTAAGCATCTGCCTACCATGTGTCTGCACACGAGGCCCTAGATCAAGGTTTTCAATGCCGTTGTGTGATGTGGTTGTGTACGTCCGCTGCTCAGGCGGCGACAGCGCGAGCTATGGGGGTGGCAAAGAAAGTCAGCTGGTCTCCAGGATTCAAGGGTTTAGGACACCCTAAACCCTAGACCTGAGACCCTAAACCCTAAACCCTAAACCCTAAACCCTGAACCCTAAACCCTAAACCCTAAACCCTAAACCCTAAACCCTAAACCCTAAACCCTAAACCCTAAACCCTAAACCCTCAACCCTCAACCCTCAACCCTCAACCCTCAACCCTCAACCCTCAACCCTAACCCTAAACCCTAAACCCTGGCAGCTGACATGGAGGCACTGAACATCGACGTCCGTGTGCGAAGGGGTGGCCAGCTGCTGTACACGGCGACCACCTGGGCCGGGCGCATTGGCTTACGAAGGGGGCCAGGCTGATCTCACAGATCATCCCCTCACCCTAAACCCTAAACCCTACACCCTGTACACGAAAATCCGACACTATTTCAATGAAGGGGTCTGAGGAAGGGCTGCTGTGCTTTTTGGGGTGGGCGTTCTTTGGCCTTGTGGGGTTTCGGGGTAACAGTCTCGGCCCTTAGAACGGTTTAGGGTTCAGGTATAGGGTTTGGGGTTTGCGCTGATGCTCAGAGCCTGGGTTCAAAAAAGGGCAACTCTGAGCCGAAAGCCGGCGACAAGCACAATAGGGGTAAAAGCTTTCCAGGCGTAATCATGACAACCAATATCCTATCATAACTACGGAAGTCCCGCTGTAATCTTTCTTCTTTCGCAATGAGAACCCCCTATTCTAGTGTTAGCCCCTTTCTGAACGAAGGAGGTATCAAGCCGCATTGGACACGCGAACGCGAAAGCCGCGCCTTCCCTTACAACGGTCAGGTAAACAGGTGGCCGTGAATAAAAAGATCCCCAAACCTTGAAGACCTGCAAGCCCCTCGACCCTCAAACCAGCCCCTGAACCCTTCTGGGTTGGGATGTTCCCCCTATACTCACAGTCCTTAATAGGGATTATAATAGGGATGATATAAGGAAGGTACTAAACATCCTTATTAAGGAGGCTGTTAGCATAAGGGGGGGAACATCCCAGCTTCCAGGTATATTGGTCTACTCACTGCCCAGCGCCCTGGCCACTACGCCGTGGCCGTCAACTTTCGGGCGCCCTTTTGAGGGGTTTTTTGGGGTTTAGGGTTTAGGGTTTGGGGTTTAGGGTTTAGGGTTGGGATGTTCTTCCTCAAACTAACTGTCCTTAATGGTGATGATCGTAGGGGGGTACTAGAATCCCAATTAAGGACTGTTAGTACAAGGCGGAACGTCCCAAGGTCAGGGTGTAGTGGGGAGAGAGGTTGAGGATTTAGGGCTTTCCCCAAACCCTGTCCCTAACCCGGAAAAAGGGTTTTAGAGTTTAGGGTTTACGGTTTGGTTTTTTCTCGAGATGCCCGAGCCCTGAATGTGAGCTGACAGGTTTCAGTATGGCGCTTTTTTCTCGGAAATTGTGGAACAGGGAGGTTCATATGGGAGGCTACAAAGTTGTGAGCGGTGTTGTTCGAGGCCGCTTTTAGATTGTGGTTCGTGGCCCGGGATAGGAATATCCCTAAACCCTAAACCCTAAACCCTGAACCCTAAACCCTAAACCCTAAACCCTGAACCCTGAACCCTAAACCCTAAGCCCCTATGACATGGATTTTGGAAGATGGATCTTGGGCTTGGAGCGCTGGAAGGGTTGCTTCCCCACGCCAGGAGCAGGGTGAAGGGACGGAGTGTCGTCAAGAGCTCCCGCTGCCCGTGGGTCTTGCTGTGAGGCCGGGGGGGATGGGGTTTAGGGTTTAGGGTTTAGGGTTGAAGGTTTGGGGTTTAGGGTTTAGGGTCAGGGTTTAGGGTTTAGGGTTCAGGCGAGGAACGCTGACAACATTTGTTCAGAGTGACAGTGCCATGCATTTCTGCGTGGTGCCCGTATGCATGTCATGCATGGGCCGAGCCCTGTATGAAGCCTCTGCAAGGGTGCTGAGAATGTCCCAGGCAGGCAGTGCAGCAGTCCTAGCCGTAAAAAAAGGGTTCAGGGCTGATTCCCGAAGTGTTCTCATCCCTTGGATGGATCAGCCCTGTCCCGGACAGCTGCGCTACTGCATGCTCTGCCTCTGCACGTGGCCAGGAAAGCCCCCTACACACCCCCCTCTACACCCCCCCCCCTCTCTCTACCTACATCATCCCCCCCCCCCCCCCCCCGCTTCACCTTTAATACCCCCCCTCCCCTCCCTTTACAACCCCTCCTCCCCTAGGAAGCCCAAGAGAGAGGCTGGCCATGGAACGCAGCCGCTCCTACAACGACTTCGTCGAGTTTGTTGCATCGGTTCCGTCCATGGCGCCCTTCTACTGCCTGGTGGCCTGGCTAGGGAGTGGCCGAGCACCATCCGCAAACCTAAGGGTTTAGGGTTTAGGGTTTAGGGTTTAGGAACATACCCGAAAACCATCGAGGGGTTCTTATGCTGAATTACGGGCGTTTGTCTGAGTAAGGGTGTCGGGCTCACTGGAGACTTGCGAACAAGATCTCACCAAAAATCTCCTCGGCATGTTTTCTCGGTGCCAAAAAGGGCCCAAAACCACACCCTGACATCCGGTTCGTGTGTAGACAGACGGTACAGACATGCTGTGCCCCAGATGTTCCTGGAAACTCCAATGCCCCTTAATTAAGTAATATTCCTAAAACCATATAAGGAACCCTATTATGATTGAAGGAATATTCCTTAATTGAGGGGTATTGGAGTCTCTGGGTTACTTTCGCTGCCCAACTTGCGAGCTCCCTCAGTGAAGCTCCGGTGTGTCAGTGTCGGTTTAGGGTTTAGGGATTGTTCTCCTGTTTTCGACTTGTCCGAGTCCCCACGGCGTGTGAAGCACCTGCAGTGTCAGCAGTGCGGGTGGAAACACAAACGCCTCCAAGCAGAACCAAAAAACCCTTCCTGTTCCGGCCCGGGGCTTGTTGAAGTGCGCGGGTTTGCATGTCTCGGGGCTACGCCCACGCCTCGCAGCCTCAGAAACCTTCGGAGAGCTACCGGCTGGCAGATGGCGCGCGCCAAGCCCCAAGCCCCAAGCCCCAAGCCCCGAAGCCCAAACCCTACACCTAAAGAGCCGAGTAGAAATCCTAAACCCCTAAACCCTACACCGTAAACCCTAAACCCTCAACCCTAAACGCTAAACCCTAAGCAAGGTGGTCTCTGCCTCTGGCGAAGCTGTCCAAGTCACGCGGAACGCGCCGTGTGGTGAGGTGGGCAGGCGGGAGCTGGAGGCAGGAGCCACCGAAAAACCTCAGTAACTTAGCGCTGGTACTATTCAAAAGATAATGACAATGGCTGGTATTTTTCATGAAAGAATATCATTACAAAGTAACTTAGTACTGGAACTATTCAAAGGATAATGACTATGGCTGGTATGCTTGTCATGCGGCTGCGAGTATTTTATGTCCACTATGATTCAATTACAAGTACCGCCACCAATGCAACTACTACTACCTCTGCCACTAAGACCACAATTACCACGTCTACCACTACGGCACTAGAAACTAGGCACGTTGGTAGCATGGACATTATCACCATGCGGGCGTTGATGCTCTGGAAACGACAGATGCACCTGGTAGCATGGACGTAACTAGCCTGGACGATATCTTCGTGCGGGCATGCATGTCAGAACCTCGGATGCACTGGTAACCTGGTAGCATGGACATAATCATCGTTCGGGCATGGGCGCTCTTTGAAACCGGACATGGGCGCAATGCTACTGCTACGATCTGCTGTTGTTATTTCTGAATATGACTACTCGCTACTGCTGAACAGTTGACAATGCGGGGTTTAGGGGCTCGGCTCGGCTACTCAGGAGGAAGGCGCGTACATCGTCCAAGCTAACATGGACTACTGGGACACAGACCCGGCCAACGATACCCAACAGTCCCTGGTACGCTGCCAGCTGGCCGAGACCATGCTGCAAGCTGCGGCTAAGAAGGGCGTCATCGAGGAGAGCGACCTCTGGATGGTTCTCTGGAAGGATCCCATCTTCGAGAGGGGCGTCACGCTGTGCCTCGGAAGCTTCTATGCCGCGAAAAATCGCAACGGAAATAAACCTGCTGCAAACGGACCTCAACAACAACTGCCAAGGTACAGCAGCGTCATGAACCCGGCCCGTGGTACCTTCCACTCCCTCTCCGAGCCTCGAAATTTTATTGTGGATAACTTTCTTGTCTCGCCTCGGCTTCTTGTGCTTGCAGTACCAGTAATGTGCTGAAGTGCGCACGTAGCCAACCATACGAAGCCGCAGAAAGTGTGAGGAATAGCAGGCTTCTGAGAACAGCAGTCGTGTTATGGCGAATATAGCAAACAAGTAGTAAACTAAATATATGTATGCATGCATGCATGCATGCAATGTAATGTATGTATGTATGTATGTATGCATGTATGTATGTATGTATCTATGTCTGTATGTATGTATGTATGTATGTATGTATGTATGTATGTATGTATGTATGTATGTATGTATGCGTGTATGTGCGTATGGGTGTATGTACATTACACATACATATATGCAAGCCCACCAATCCATCCATCCATGGCCATTCTACGCAGCAGAACAACTGAGGAACCTCCTGAAGACGATCCCGGCCCCCAGCGCGCCGCTGGCAAGCGGAGGAAGAGCCGAAAGTGACACCAAAAAGTAAAGCGAGCGAGCAGTCGGGTTTGGGGTTCTCCTCGAAGGGCTTTTGTAGGTGTGAGAAAGTAAGTTTCGGGTTCTTAAGATTAAGCTGCAGCCTGTGGAAGATGTGCAGGTGGGATGTGCTCAGGCTAGCTTAGGGGTCAAGGTACTTCAGGGCTGTCTTCCGCTCCTGTTGTGCATCACTCTGGGCAGGTACCCTGGCAAAGAATCCAGGTGCTAACGGTTGAAGGTTCCGGGGAGGGATTATCCATGGAGAACTGTGAGTCAAGTGGCAAGCATGTTGCAAAAAGCAAGAAACGCATTTTTGAGGATGTCCCGATTGTTGGAGTCGGGCCGGACAGTCAGTTTTGACAAATCCTCAACCCGCAGACACTTCGCAAATCGACGGGCGCTCCTAAACCCTAAACCCTAGACCCTAACCCTAAACCCTAAACCCTAAACCAGATGAAGTTTTTCAGCCATGAAACTTAGACTGCTGTGTGGTTCGTCCAGCTCTGCAGGATTGAAAAACAACCCCAAACCCTAAAACCCAGACTCAATAAATTGAACCCTAAACCCTCGCGTGGCCAGACAGGTGGCAACGGAAACCCTAAACCCTAAACCCTAAACCCTAAACCCTAAACCCTAAACCCTAGACCCTAGACCCTAAACCCTAGACCCTAAACCCTATAAACTCTAAACCCTAAACCCTAAACCTCCGAGTTCCTTCCACTTCGGCCGCTCTGCCATCTGCTTGGACGTCAACCGCTGCATGGAGCGCGGCCCTCAGTCGGCTGTACCTCCTCAAGCCGCGCTGCAGGGTTTAGGGTTTAGGATGTAGGGTTTAGGGTTTAGGGTTTAGGGTTTCGGGTTCGGGCAGCTAGCCAAACTGGCATCGGCCTCGGGTGAGAGGAGGCTGGGCTGAAGAACCCCTAAACCCTAAGCACTAAACCCTAAACCCTGAACTCTAAACCCTATACCCTAAACCCTAAACCGTAAGCCCTAAACCCTAAACCCTAAACCCTAAACCCTAAACCCTAAACCCTAAACCCTAAACTCCTCGTTGCGAAGGGGGGTGGGTTAACCAGGGGAGGGCTTCGGCTCTCGAAGTCGAGGGATATAGGCGTCGAGGGCTTTGGGCTTTTTGTTTAACAGGGGGGGGGGGGGGGTTAGGGTTTAGGGTTTAGGGTTTAGGGTTTAGGGTTTAGGGTTTATATACACTTTCAGGTTGTGTATATATATATATATGCACACATACACTTTCAAGGATAGCATTTGAATCAAGAATTGGGCTTTTTGTTTCATAATGGTCCATGCAGGTCCGTGAAGTTGTTGTAGTCTGGGAAAGTGGGACAGAGCCAGGAACAAATCCCGGCTTCCTGCTCTGAGTTTAGGGCACCCTAAATTCAGTGAAATGAAACATACTGTAACAATGCAGTCACATACTAGTACCTTAATATTTCTACTCCAATCGTGAAGAATGTAGCAATATGGTACCGTAATAATAAGATATGACAGTAATACCATAATAGAATTATATAGTAGAAAAATGAAAGAATAGAAGAATAGAATAATAGAAGGAAAAAAGAATAGGAGGATGGAAGAAATAGAGGAATAGAGGAATAGAGGAATAGAGGAATAGAAGAACAGAAGAACAGAAGAACAGAAGAACAGAAGAACAGAAGAATAGAAGAATAGAAGAATCGAAGCATAGAAGAATAAAATAAGATAGTAATGTAATAACGCATTACTATCGCAATATAATATTAGAAATAATATAGAAAATTTGCATAATACTATACTATTATTTTGTAATATAGTAAGAAACAATATTTGAAGATAGTGTTAGAACAATATCATAATACAAGAATATAGAACTACAATAATATAAGCATATAATGAAAACGTACTGTAATCAAAGAATAGTATACAAATAACACAAGAACAGTAACATACCAATGTAAAGAATACACGAATATACAAATAAAACCATAAACGCTAAACCCAAACCCTAAACCCTAAACCCTAAACCCAAAACCCTAAACCCTAAACCCTAAACGCTAAACCCTGAACCCTGAACCCTAAACCCTAAACCCCAGAAGCCCTGCAGGCTGTGTGACAAGACGCAGGACTGCCGCCCCTCGCTCGCTTGAATGCGTGAGGCACCAGGCACTGTACACCGGTGCCCTTAATGGTTTAGGGTTTAGGGTTAGAAAGTTCTGGGCTTTGATCTTCGTGGCTTTTCAGGCTCGGTATCGGAGGAGTAGCCCCAATCTACACCCTAAACTCTAAAACGCTCGACAGTCAGATCACATACGTAAGTGGCTGGCGGTCAAACTAACCTTCCTCCTTCTCTTCTCACAGGGCCCCGCCAAATCCACCCCACATGCTCTCTCGAATGCACTGGAGCAGGGGTCGTGCTGACTGCTTGTTCCCGTAGTATGGACTTCTTTGACCTCCTGTGAACAGCCGTCCAGTACGGCAGTAGGAGAATGGATGATGTTGCAACGGGGCCTTATTCTTGCCACAGGGCTAGACTTCAAACCAGTAGACAAAAAAGATATCACGTGAAGGTTCATGGGTAGTTATCATACAAGTGGGGCTACAAGTAAGGTAAGTATAATCAAAACTGGCAAGAACATTATTTAGGGTACTTATATAACCCTACTTATGGCTACCCCTGAACCTCCAAGCAGGGGAAGGGTGGATTGGCTGCTGCCAGAGGAAGCCGGCCTACCTAACAGCATCTTGCCCCGACTCGGACAGGCCGCGCATGAAGCCCTTGAAGGGAACAACGTGGAAATAGCAATGGATCAAGGGCCCCACAAGTCGACGTGAAAGGCAGATGGCAGAAAGGGCAAATCGCCGCGGCTTGCAGTGTAAATTTCGAGGATGCCGCCAAGGTAAGTGAGAAGAGGACACTACATTCTGCAGGACCTCGCTGCTTCGTGCCAAAGAGCCTTTAGAGCAAGCCTAGTATTACTTGAACCCTATGATACCAGGCACCTGTAGGAGGACCCCAGTTTAGAAGAACCTGCAGCTGACCACTGCAATCCGCTTCTACCTTTAACCCCCCCGCCCTTCCCCCAAATTTTGGGTTTCGGGTTTAGGGTCTTTAACCCTACCTTCCCCCCCCCCCCCCCCCAATAAATTGAATGGGGGAGCGCACTCCGGTTCCCGTGAACGCCGTGCGGCCTCGCACTTTGGTGATTTGGAGTTCCGTGGTGATTGTCAGGAGGTCTAGGGTTTAGGGTTTAGGGTTTAGGGTTTAGGGTTTAGGGTTTTGGGCTGTTCTGGCTGTTGGCCAGGTTTCGCCGTGGAGATGTCGCAGGCCGTGGCTGGCACCAGGTTTTGAACTTTTAACGCTTAAAAATTGGATGTTGACGGGGGTTGCAGGTGTTGCGGGGGCAAACCCTAAACCCTAAACCCTAAACCCTAAACCCTAAACCCTAAACCCTAAACCCTAAACCCTAAACCCTAAACCCTAAACCCTAAACCCTAAACCCTAAACCCGAAAAGCCTGGCCTTGCAGTGTCAGATCCGTCTCCGGGGGTCTTGGACGGCAAAACCTTCAACTCGTCGGCAGACGAAAGTGGCCCAAACCCAGCATCCTTCTCTCCTGGGCAGCAACACCCTCAGCCCTCAAACCCTAAACCCTGTGTACCTTGCTTGCCTGCGTGCGAGCGTGAGAGTCCCAACCCAGCCAAAACCCTAAACCCCGCAAAGTAGCGCCCAGGTGCTCAGAGACAGAGACAGGGCCGAGTAAACCCGCCCAAATCCTGCACCGTGCCTATCTCAGCCATCAGAGTCGAAGCCAAAAACCCTAAACCCCACAAAATCCAGCCATTAAACGAAAACCCCTTAACCCCATAAACGAGGTTTGCCCTAAACCCCAAACCCCAAACCCCAAACCCCAAACCCCAAACCCCAAACCCCAAACCCTAAACCCTAAACCCTAAACCCTAAACCCTAAACCCTAAACCCTAAACCCTAAACCCTGAACCCTGAACCCTGAACCCTGAACCCCTTAAACCACAAAACGAGCCAGGACGTCGACCGCTGCCAGCTCAAGCCTTCCAGCTGCTCGGGGCCCTGGGTCTTCTGTTCAGGGCTTAGGGCGGTTTAGGGTTTAGGGTTTAGGGTTTAGGGTTTAGGGTTTAGGGTTTAGGGTTGGATGAGTCGCAATCGTGAAGATTGGTGGCTCGGATCTGGCAAGTCCTCAAAGCCTAGTTGCACAAGGGTTGAGAAGGGTGGTTTAGGGTTGAGGGTTTTTGGTGGAACTCGGCATGTTTCAGGACATGCCTGGTTGAAAAGCAGCCTTGGCAGAGAGCGAGGCACGTGCCCAGCACCCCAAGCCTCTGTAGCCGAACTCCGCATTTGGGATCGGCTGTGACCTGGTATCGTGTAAGCTTCTCAAGTAAACCCGAAACCCGAAACCCGAAACCCTAAACCCTAAACCCTAAATCCTAGGGGGGGGGGGGGGGGGGGGGGGGTGGGGTGTTTCTGTTGAATGGCGCCAAGCGGGAGTGCTTTGGTGCTCTTGGCCGTGCTGGAACATGCCTGCAGGGTAACTTAGCCATGCCCATTACTCTTGCAAGCTTTTGCATCACCCCTGCCCCAGGCTTCTGCCCTACACCGTAAACCCCTAAACCCGAAAGCCCTAACTCTCCTAAACCCTAAACCCTAAACCCTAAACCCTGAGGCCTCTTGCACGAGCAGTGGGAGCCCGATTTCTCGACCAACCTCGTGGTCAAGGGCTCGGCTCACATCGGCTTTCCGAGGGTTTCGGTCGTCGTGCTGCCTGTTGAATGCCTAGTGGGCTCAAGAAGTAACGAGTTGGTGGGTTTAGGGTTTAGGGTTTAGGGTTTAGGGTTTAGGGTTTAGGGTTTAGGGTTTAGGGTTTAGGGTTTAGGGTTTAGGGTTGCATTCCCATCAAAGTAAAGTTCGAACAAAGCCCTTTGCATCTATCCCTTCCTGGGATCATGGGAGGAACTTTGTGTTTCCCAAGCAGATCAGATTTGAATTCGACCTATATAATTCGGTAGTTCGGCTCTACGCCTCTTGACAAGATTCCAAAGGCTCGCGTGGCCAATGGATAGAGTGGGTAAAAAGTTTAGGGTTGGAAAAAGGGTTGCAAGCAGAGGTCTTGAGGTTCCGACTTTTGGGGCGGGCCTTGAGATCGAGATCTGGGGTGGTGTGTGCATGGAGAAAGTGGTGCTCCGAGCTAAGAATGGTAAAGACAAGGCTTCGAATTTCGTGCATCATCTTGACATGCCCCGCACAGCCTGGAAATCACCGGCAAGTCACACAGATACTAGCAAATCTCAAGCAACAAGTCCTACACTTACCTTGCCATGCTCTACCATGCCTCACACAGATACGAGCAAGTCGCAAACAACAAATCATACCTTGACATTCGATACCAGCAAATCACAAGCAACAAATTAAATTGTGCATCTTGCAAATTGGTAGAGTCTCCTTGAAAGGACTCCCCCATAACGGGCCCTAATTTCGGTTTCCGCAACGTACAGACTATGACAAGCAAGTGACTATCATAGTCCTCATGTAAGGGTTGGGCAACAAGCACATCCCTACTAGAGTAGGCCTGTTTGATAGAAGCTCAGAGAAAGTACCCCTCAACTACGGAAAGCACCATATAGAGGTTCTTCGGGTAGATTCAAGTATCTTCCTCTATTGCAGGGTGTTGGGCGCTCTGGGCAGGTGCTGGGTCGAAGTCGCCGCACGACGTCGACCTCCACCACCATGGCGCGAACCCCAAGCACAGGGCACCTGTCCCCAGTCGGCAACCCCATGTGGGAGATGTCCGAAGAGGCACAGATGGTCCAAAAGCCCCAACAGAGTAGCACATGTAAAGCGGGGCCGATTCAGCCTCCAAGCCCGGAGGTTGCTTGCCAACTAACAGCCGGAGCCTTCACGAAGAGAAGCCTTAGAGCCCGGCCTCCGAGTTCTGAGAAATCCCGGGCCGAGACCCCAGTTGCACGTATGCCAAAACCTCCGAAGCCCCTGAAGCCTGCGGAGGCCCCGGCGGCTTCCGATGGTCCACTGGTTTCTGGCTCGGAGGCGCAAGTTTCGAGCAACTGAGCGTGAGACCCCGAAACCCAGACCCTGACGTTCAGAGCGCTGAGGGCGGCTTGCAGATTGCACAATCCCCTGGCCACTTTGGCCCAAGATATTCACGGAATACTCGCGCCAGCTACAGTAAGACCACTTTTTGCTGAAGGACAGCTCTCCAGCAGCACCTGAGATCGAATAACTTCCATGTCCATATCCATGAAGGCCTTCTCCAGCCCTTTTGCGGCAGTGATTCAGCCTTCCAACAACCTCCTGATTCTGCTCGTCCTCACCGCAATCTGCATTGTGGTGCCGCTGGACCTGACCCAGCTCATCTTCGCCTGCCTCGGAGCATTCTGCTACTACGTGGTGCAATTGCTCCAGCGATCCGTGTCCGTGCCGGCCAGCTCGAAGAAGTTGAAGGCCTGCAACACCCCGGACTCCGACTGGCCCGGTGAACGTCCTCAGGCTCGGGAAGAGCAGCTTCGCAAGCCCAGGCGCCTCCCTACAACGCGGAGGCCTGGCACACACGTCGACGCACAGGCGCAGACGCCCGCCGTGCCTATCGTGGCCCCCAAGTTTCAAGGACAGAGCCTCCAAGAGGAGGTCCAGGAGCTCGTGTCGCAGATCATGCCCACAGCGTCCAGCCAGCGTGGAGTGGACCGGCTTGCAGAGGCCATTCGCGTGATGCTCGCCAGCAGCCTTCCCGAGGTGGAAGTGGTGGGATTTGCAAGCAGCGACCTCTCGCGGGGTCGCGCCAATGGCGTGGCGGTGCCGGATGTGGACATTGTCATCAACGTCCGCCCAGACCGCGTCTCGCCGAAAGTCGCGTCGCGCCCGGCCAAGGTCTCATCCGACCCCCGCATGCTGCAGAAGTGGGCGCTGCGCCACTGCGCGGATCGGCTGGTGTCAGCGGGCGGCTTCAAGTTCCGACGCTCGGGCTTCCGCGGGAACGAGCCCAAGATGACCCTGTTGGTGCCCAGTGAGCTCGGCATCTTCAACCAGGCCGTGCCCATCGACATCGCCGTGAATGCCGTCTCGCCGCTGCACAGCGCCGCCTTGCTCACAGAGTGCGGCAACATTAACCCGCGCAGCAAGGAGCTGATCTTGATCATCCGTCGTTGGGCAAAGGACCGCGGTGTGTGCCATGCACCCAAGGGGCACTTGTCGCCCTACGTGTGGAGCCTGCTGGTGGTCTTCTACCTCCAGGTGGCCGAACGGCCCGAAGGGGCCCTCCTGCCGCCCATGGAGGAGTTTGAGGCCATCGCAAACCTCCTGCCCGACCGCCGTGTGAAGAAGACCTGGCAGATGAAGGATGAGATGAAGGTCCCGGTGGCTCAACTGCTATGTGGCTTCATGCACTTCTACAAGAACTTCCCCTGGAAGCAGGCAATCTCTGTGCTCAGGGGCACCTCGGGCCCGGCACCGGTCTCGCTGCCCATCAACCTGATCGAGCATGACGATGGGAAGACGGTGGAGTGCGGGCCCAACATCGAAGCTTTGTCATAGTTGGGGTAACATTTTACATGTTTAAGGGTGCTTAGACTTAAACCCAATGAGGAGTAAACTGAGTAAACATTAAAATCTTTCATATTAACCATGAACTAGGAAGATCCTTTCGCGCCAAAGACCAACCTTGGAAGCGGCATGACATGGTGGAGCTTCCAGCGTCTGCGAGAGGAGCTGGCAAGGGCCACTCTTCTCCTGTCTGAGGACACGGCCTCCTTGTCCAAGCTGCTGGAGCCCTGGGCACCGGAGACGCCGGAGGCGCAGTGAGTGGGAAAGACCCTCGCACCAGACGACAGAGTGCTAAAAAAAAGACATCCGCCCAGGGCCGAAGAGAGGAGAGGAGCCTTAATGCTTCGCGATGATCTGATTGTAGGTGAGCAGTGTTGCTCCAAGGGGGGTCATGAGCTGCGAAGACTTGAAGTGACACAATGCCGTCATGTGGATGGACCCCCCCCACCCCTCATCCCTGAACCCCCAAAGAGACCCTCCGAAGCCTCGGGCTTGAAGAGGTGCTTCTTCGGGCGGCCAAGATCATCGCCAACTCCTCGATTCTGCAGGCTCCGGGGGGGGCGGGGGGGGGGGGGCGACATGGGGCGACCCACCCACGCACAACTACAACGAACCCGATGAGTACGAGTGTTCCTTCTAGGGCCCTTTGAGGGAAGGGGCCTCCGCCAGCGAACCCTGTAGAGAGCTGTCTCACTCATTCCCAAGTTGTTCCCCCGCACTCTAACTAGCCCGCTGAAACCCTACACCCTACACCCCCCCCCCCCCCCCGCTCCCAAGAAGACCTCTTGTGTACAGTTCGAAGGGGGTGTTCGTGCTGGGGGTCACAGTGTGCCCTGTGGATACCCTACCACAGTTCTGCCACCCTAAACCCTGAAGCCCTTTCATGAACCCAAGCCTCCCCTAAAGTTGACCCATGGGACCCATGCACAGGCGAAGCGCGCTGAGCACACCTGCCTTGAATTCAATCGCGAAGTGCAGCCCACGCTTTGCCGGCTTCAGGTCTATTTGGCTTCAGTCCTTTAGGTTTTATAGGGTGCCGTCGCTTAGGGCTTCGGACCTAAGATGTAGGCTTCCGTGCTTGCGGGTGGGGGGCCCTGAAAGCCCCTGAAAGCCCCGAAACCCCGGAAAACGCTTCAAGTTGCCAGGCTCGAAGAGTCCAACCAAGACCAGGTGGAGGTGGGGCCTTTAAGGTTTGGGGTCAGGGTTTAGGGGTTAGGGTTTAGGGTTGTAGGGGTTAGGGGTTAGGGGTTCTGCAACAAGGGGTTTAGGGTTTGGGGAAGGGGTTTCGGGTCTTGGGCGAGAGAGCGAGAGGGTTTATAGTGTGAGGACTGCTTTCTCAGTTCTCACGCTCAAGCTCTCAAGATGTTCCAGTATGCACTCACGTGTCATGAATGAAGTAAGTGTGCTCATCGCGGAAACTCGAACTCTTGTCTTCACCGGGGTAAATGACTCATCGGGTGACCTAAGTCCTGTCGAAAACCCTGCACACTTGAAACCCCAAACCCTAAACCCTAAGCCCGATTTCCATAGGCCCTTAACGCTAAACCCTAAACCCTAAACCCTAAACCCTAAACCCTAAACCCTGAACCCTGAACCCTGAACCCTGAACCCTAAACCCTAAACCCTAAACCCTGAACCCTGAACCCTGAACCCTGAGCCCTAAGCCCTAAGCCCTGCGCTCCCAGGAGTCCAAGCTCGAGCATCTGGTCTCGCTGATGCACTTCAGCCTCGTCGACCTGCCCGACGACTCGCGCCAGAGTGCGCGGTTCAGACAGGGTTTAGGGTTTAGGGTTCAGGGTTCAGGGTTTAGGGTTTAGGGTTTAGGGTTTGGGGTTTGGGGTTTAGGGTCAGACAGGGTCTGGGGGTGTGGGTTTGGGGTTTAGGGTTAAGATGCAGTGCTTGGTGGTCCCAGCTGATGCTCAGAGCCTGGGTTCCGGGTAGGGGTTCAGGGTTTGGGGTTCGGGGTGTTTGGGTTGTGGATGTGTCGCAACAAAGGGGCTTGTCGTAGCACCGCGCAGAACTCGTTATGTGTACCATTGCACGCCCCAAGGGCCCGTTCCGCACGAACATCACGATGTACTTTTGCGCATCTAGATGGCCAATCAGACGGCGCTTTGGCGAGGTTGGGTGCCCCTCTAGACTTAGGCCCTAAACCCGAAGCCCTGTAACCTCGAACCCTAAACCGCCCTAAGCCCTGGACCGTATCTTGCGTGTGCGGGAAGGGAACGCTCCCATGCGCGTTGGCCTCTTGGAAGTGGGAAAGGCCCCAAAGAGCAGTCGTCGATGGTCACCTCTTTTCCAGCCACATCTTGCAACCCCCTAACGCCCCAACCCTACGTACTTTGCAGGTCGGGTCTAGGAAGGCCGCCGCCAGTGGGCCTCTTCTTAAGAAACAGGGTCCCCAGCGTCATGGGGGTTCTTGAAACCCTAAACCCTAAACCCTCAACCCTAAACCCCCCAGACCCCCCAGACCCCCAACCTTACGGACGAGTCAGGCTTCAAGTACAGCAGCAGCATGCCGCAGCCTCAGCCAAAAGACGGAGAGAGGCCCTGCGTTGCGTAATGGCTAGCGTGCAAGTTGTAGGGCTTAGAGTCCTGCATGTTGCCATTGGGGGACTCAGAAGATCGGATGTGGGACTGTCTTTTAAGAGGCCCAGGTCCTGGTTCAGTAGAGCCATGTCCAGTTCGTGAAGTGGGAGCTCAACGCCTATTTGGGGGGCTTCCGAAATTCGCGGGTACCTTATCGGGGTCCTGATTACAGGGGGGAGTTGGTATAGGGGCCCCTGATTTTCGTAAGTTTCCATGTGTAAGCTACCCCAAGAATCCTATTGGGCGTCTTTCTTAAGACCCGTTACGAGGTGCATGGCCAGTTCCTAAACCACCTTGGGCGCCCTGACTCGAAGGGCCCGTATTCATAAAAGGTGGCCCTTACCTCGGTCTCCTCAGCCCGCAACCCTAAACCCTAAACCGTAAACCCTGAACCCTGAACCCTGAACCCTGAACCCTAAACCCTGAACCCTGAACCCTAAACCCTAAAGCCTAAACCCTAAACCCTAAACCCTAAACCCTAAACCCTAAACCCTAAACCCTAACTTTAAGAGGCTCCGTGGCTGCACCCTGTATCTGGTGCCCTTCAACGCGGGGAATGTGGGCATCTTCGACACGTACAGGAAGCCGCTCGATGCCTTGGGATCTATAGGGTTTAGGGTTTAGGGTTTAGGGTTTAGGGTTTGGGTTTAGGGTTTTGGGAAGAAGCTCCCCCGGTTTCTTGGGTAGGGAAAGAGGGAATGAGGGCCCTACATAGGCCCTTTAAGGGATTTTGTAGGGTACCTCATTCCCTCATGGGTGTAGGGGGACGAGAGGGCAGGCCAGGGCGCGCCAAACCAAGGGTTTAGGGTTTAGGGTTTAGAGTTTAGAACGCAGGGAAAAGCGGCTTCCCTTCAGCTCCAGCGCTGAAAGCCCCAGGCATTTTCGGACCGTGGCCCTGCCCTCCGGGCAGCAGGGGGAGTGGAAGTATTCTGCAGGGGCACCCCAGCTGCACGGATCGAACTACTATAGGTTTAGGGTTTAGGGTTTAGGGTTTAGGGTTTAGGGTTTAGGGTTTAGGGTTTAGGGAAGGTTTAGGGTTTAGGGTTTAGGGTTTAGAGCGCCTTAGTAATTGGAATAGGGTTTTGGGGGGTTATTGTAGTATAGTTACAAACGGACCCTAAGGGAATATTATTCGTAATTATTCGACCCCGATATTGCACCCTTAGCCCCGGATGATGAGATCCACCAACTTACTTCACCACAGAGACCTGGTTGTAAAGAATCTGGGGGTAGTTGAATGGTATACCTCCTAAACCCTACACCCTAAAGCAAAAGGGATCGACAAGTTCGTCGACAAAGCGCCGACGGGTTTATGTTCGCAATTTTTTCTGGGGAAGAATTGTGGGCTGCGAGTTTGAATTGCCCCTGGCGGGATTGTTTTTATTCAAGGTTGAGGTGGGCTCTTTAGGGTTCTAAGGGATCGGCCCTGAATGTGGTCCCTTACCCTCTTGAAAGGGTTCTGAAGTATGGGCCCTTGGGTTGTATAGGGTATGAGGGGTACATAAGTGGCCCCCCCTTTAAGGCCCCCACATGAAGGGACCATGCAACTACCAAAAGCAGGTTTTAAGGTTTAGGAGTGCTACTTTGACTACCGACAGCGAGGTCATGATGGACGATGGAACTGCTTACTTTGTGCCGTATGCTGCCAATCATATTGGCGTTTTCGATGTGCACAGCGAGGGTTTCAGCCCCTCGGCACGCAATGCACGGGAAGCTAATCAGGAGCATGCTTCTTAGCATTTTGCACGTTCCCAACTTCGCAACAGCCCTCGTTCACCAGGCCCTGAACTTCTAAGCCCGAACCACTGCGGGCCTTGCGCCATGAGGCAAAGGTTCAGGGGCACATGTCCAGAACTTTGAGGATCCAACCGGACCTACATGGTTAAGTTATTCACAGAACATTGGGTACCCCATTATATATATATATATACTCCCACTTAGTGTAACCCTGATTAGAGGGACCCCACCTCCCACCCCCGACTGCCCCCTACCCAATTATGGGCACCCTAAGTTTGCGAAACCCCCAAATAAGTTTCGTGCTGAAGGAACCATCGACATCAGCTGGGCGACCTCCGCTGACTGCAGCTCTTTCCCGGTTTGATCTCTCTTCCTGTGTGTCCCTCAACGCCCTAAAGCCCGCCCTTGTTGGAGAAAGGTGATTCTACCATTCTATGATCTATACATACATACATACATACATACATACATGTATATATATATATATATGCATACATATATCTACACACACATACATACATATATATATATATATATATTCTATGATATACCTAAACCCTAAGCTTCAGAAGCCCTGTAGGCCCCTCTTTACATCTTCCCAGCGTCTCAGCCAGGCAAGTACAGCGGAGCCCTCTTTGCGGAGGGCCTTGCCTACTTCATCCCCAGCTCGGCGAACAACGTAGGTACGCCTTGGGGCTGTGTCTGTTGTTATATATGATAATACTTGATTGTATCATGGTAGTATTTTTAAGATAATGTCAGAAGATATCAACTGTCTACAGGAAGTTACATGGTGCCCTAACGTCGTTCCTTACCTGGTCTAACGCGCTCCGAAGTTCATGCGCCCTGGGGTTAGAAGGGGTATAGAAGGGTTCCCCAAGGTTGTAGCATCTACCCACCTTATCCCCTTGCAGTCCCGATTTTTTGGAGTATTGGAGCGGCCCAAACCCGGAAGGCAATGAAACAAGAGCCCCTTACGAGAACAGAATTCAATCCAGAGGCAATTTCTTGCAGGTACATGCTTGGTTTACAGAAGCAAATAATTCTAGACTTTATTGTTGTCTGCCTCGTTCAAAAGCAATTAACTCCACATTTAATTGGTTTTCTCGGTGGTCAGGAACAGAGCAAGCCATCGGTAACTCGCTTCGTAAAATAGCAAGCCATCGGTGTTTCGTTTCGGTTCCAAATCTCGGGTTTTCAATAACAAGAACCTCCAGATTTTTGCTGGGTCTGGGTAAGCCGTCCCTATGCTCGAAAAATCACAAACGCAACTCCAGAGTTCCTTCCCCCCAGAGGACCACAGAGGACCCCACGCAAATAATCAAATCCCGAGTTAGTTCCCCTCAGAGGACTCCAAGCAAACAATTCAATCCAGAGTCAATTCCCCTCAGAAGGCCGAGTTAATTTCCCTCAGAGGACCTCATGCAAACAATTAAATCCAGAGTCAATTCCCCTCAGAGGGCCGCAAGCACACGTTTAAACCCAGAGTTAATTTCCCTCAAAGGACCCCAAGCAAACAATTCAATCTAGAGTTGATATCCCTCAGAGGGCCCTAAGCACACTTAAATCCAGAGTTCATTCCCCTCAGAGGGCACCAATCCTCACAAACAATGAAATCCAGTGTCAATCGTCTGGCCAACCTTTAGAGAAACAATCAAATCCAAAGTTAATTGTCTCAAAGCCCGCAGATCCCAGAGAGCCCCGCAGCGTTCAAGGATGGTCGGGATGTGGGGTTTAAGGGCAAAAAGGGTTTCGGGTTTAGGGTTTAATTCGCCGCAAGCCGCTGCAAAAGGGTTTCATTCAACAGGGGCTTAGGGGTGTAGGGAGCAGAGGCCTGGATCCCTAGTGAGCAAGTGGGTTTTAGAAAGCAGAACAGGCTTCTCCAGGCCAAAGCACAGGAACCCCGCATGTTTCGAAGTCCTTGAACTATTATTACTACTACTACTACTACTACTACTACTACTACTACTACTACTACTACTAGTAGCCCTGGGCTCGAGAATGCACCTTGGACTGCCTATGTAGGGGTGCCGAGCCTGAAATATTCAACCCTAAGCCCTAAGCCCTAAGCCCTAAGCCCTAAGCCCTAAGCCCTAAGCCCTAAGCCCTAAACCCTAAACCCTAAACCCTAAACCCTAAACCCTAAACTCTAAACCCTGAACCCTGAACCCTGAACCCTAAACCCTAACCCTAAACCCTAAACCCTAAGACCTATACCCTAAACCCTAAACCGTAAAAAGAACCTTAGTCAAAGGGGTCTTGGGCTCTGTCCCGATGCAGAAGGTAGTCTGTGGACGTTGGTGTGCTGCTTGCTGCATGCTCCTGAACCCAAAGACTCAACACCCCCCAAAACCCCAAAGCACCAGAACCCTAAACCGAGTAAGCCCTAAACCCTAAGCCCTAAACACTAAACCCTAAACCCTGAACCCTAAAAAACCCTAAACCCTAAACCCAGAAACCCTAAACCCTAGACACTAGACCCTAGACCCTAGACCCTAGACCCTAGACCCTAGACCCTAGACCCTAGACCCTAGACCCTAGACCCTAGACCCTAGACCCTAGAACCCAAACCCTAAACCCCAAACCCTACGACAAAGTTGGGTCGCGCTGGTTTGGCCCCTAAGACCAGCCGCACCGCCTCAGGGGTGTTCCACCCCAGCACCGAGAGCTTTCGGACGGCCGCTCGGTCTCAGAGAGTATGCCAGTTCTTTGTAGGGAAGTTAGGGCTTAAGGTTTAGGGTTTAGGGTTTGGCTTTTAGGGGCTAGGGATTCGGGTTTAGGGTTGAGAATGGGCAGTGAGGTCCTTACATCTCTTTAGAAGGGATACCTTTCCTCGTGCAAGACGTCCAGTCCTTTGCTTTCGGGTCTCTGTCTTGGTACCCTAAACAGAGCGTGCATGCAATGCCCAAAACGTGGGCCCTTATGCTGGCTGCAATGGGGCTCATGCAGATTACCTCGGGCCGCTTTCAGGTTCACCTTTTCCAAGCCTTGCCTGCCTTGTGCGACCGAACCGGTATCTAGGGAACCTCCCCGAACCCTGAATCCTAAACCCAGAACCCTAAAACCTGAACCCTACACCCGGAACCCTAAAACCTAAACCCTAAACCCAGAACCCTAAAACCTGAACCCTAAACCCAGAACCCTAAAACCTAAACCCTAAACCGCAGCTTTCTCTTCGACCCTTGAGGGTTTGCAGCCCAGCAGTCAAGCCCAGCTGAGTCCCTCCGGCCAAGATTAGAACCGATCAGGCACTGTAGATATCCGTGCACGTACACACACACACGTAGATAACATAAACATAAACAGAATTATCTATCTATCTATTTATCTATCTATCTATCTATCTATCTATCTATCTATCTATATATATGAATATAAATGTATGTATGTGTTTTTTTTTTATATGTATATATATATATATGCATGTATACATATGTATATATATATATATATATATAGATGCATGAAGTTATAAAGTATTTCTTCTTAAGGGATGTTGAGCTCGCTGGGCCCAAAGCCCAAGCCCCCTACCCCCGCAACCCCTACTTGAAGGCTCATGGGTACTGATAAGTGGGGTGATAAGTACCCAAAATCAGGCTACAACCACAGTTACCCTACTTATGACCCTACTTCTAAGTACCCATGAACCCTAAACCCTAAACCCTAAACCCTATGCGGAGCTGCAGCTGGTATTGTAGAAAGGAGTTAGTGTTGGGAGTTGGAAGGGTCAATGTACCCGGAAATCTTGTATGGCTCAAGATGGCCGAGAGCCGTCAGCTTTTGTTGAAAAAGTACGTACGCTTGGGGTTGGGTTTAACGGGTTGGAGTAGTCCCGTCCCTTCTCCCTTATCCTGTCCCCTTAGGGTTGGGTGTTCTTGTTTCTGGTTCGATCTGGGAAATCTATATAGGCGACTGTTGAGGGTTGGTTTCTTTCCCTGTTCCCTTTCGGTTGCCCCCGTAGGTTATGAGCCCATATTAGGTTCCCTGCGGTTGAGTGTTCTCTTAAGGTTTTTGGGATCAAGAAGCAATGCCTTCTCCCAAGCGATGGCTCCAGCCTTCCTCGGATGGTGGACAGAATGGTGGAGCTGGAAATGGTGCAGCTGGGTCTCTGGGTGAAAGGGCGGTGCTGGAAGAGGTGATGCCTGGCGCTGAAGAACATCTGGAAGAAGCCTTGGTTGCAGAAGACCCCAATGTGGGTATGAATCCCAATGTGGATATGGTTAGCAATGCTGAAGCTGAAGGACGTGCTGTTTCTGTATCGCCAAAGCCTGGTGAAAAAAGGAACTGGGACGCGACTGGTGGTATAGACCGTGAAATGGAGGTGACTGTTTTACGCGTGTTGAAAAAACATGGGTATCAGCCGTCGACTTCGACTTCGGGCCGAATGGTAGACCAAGGGTCTCAGACCAATCTGATTGGAGAGGTGCTGCAAGCTGCCAGGAGGCCTCTGAACAAGATTAAAGGGGATCCCTCGGCGAGTTCCCTGGGTGGTGGAAGCGGTTACGAACAGAAGGGTGCGGACAGCTTTGAAGCTGCACCAACTGCTGAATACGCCATGGGGGAGGAGGAGATCTTACAGATGGAGGCTGAAAGGTTGCGCCAGTTGTCAGAAGAAGAGGATGAGATGCGTCAAGTCTCTGAAAGGGATGGTTTTCGGAAAGATGAGCATCTGATCAAAGCGTGCGATGGGACAACGTGGGAATGGCACTTCCACGAAGATGGGAGACAATATTACTACTGCCTGGATACGCAGGAAAGCAAGTGGACGTTGCCGGTTGTAGGTGAAAAGATGAAGAGTGACGAGGTGGTTGGGTCTCCTTCGGGCAATGAGCTGGAAATGGAGGCTGCACTGGGTTCTTCATCCTCTACTCCGACGCCTGAGTCTACGAGGGCATTCCAGGGTAGTGTAAATAGTGTAGGTGAAAAAGATTTTTCCTCTACTATCAGGGATAGCGGTCCTAGGGCTGGTGGTGACGCCCCGACCTCGGGTTCTCCTGATGAGGAGGGGATTTCTGGAAACCGAGCAGACCCCGCTGAAGCTCAACATCTGGATCGGGAAGAAATGGAAGCGCTTTCTGAGGGTGTGGCAGCGGTGGAATCGGTGGGTCCAGAAGAAAAAATGCCCAATGTGGAGATCGGAACTGTGTCGGCTGCAGAAGAGAGAGTGGTGGATGTGGTACCTGTCGTTCAGGAAGGTGGTCCTGGAGATTCGGAAGACGGAGGGAAAAAGTTGTGTGTTACGACTGAGGAGGTCTCTTCGTTTGGTGCCAAGAATCCTGCCATTCAAGGGGAAAAAGAAGCTTCTGGAATAGCTGGAGACACGGAAGATCTGAAAGATGAGGCCTGGAGCGCCAATGATGCGCGGGTCAATGCGCCAGATAGTACCTGGAGTGCGAAGGAAGCACGGGTTGAGGTGCATATGGTGTCACGTTCCACGGGCGACTGCAACAATGGGGCGCAGGTCTCCGCAGCAGCTGATGACGGAGGTTCACAGGTGGACGCACTGGTGCAACCTGAAGTTAGCTGCGAGGAACGAAATGGCAAGGGCTACACCGGAGCCGATGAGGCAGCTGTGGTCAATGATGGTGGCAATTCTCCTTTGGAAACCATGGAACCAAAGGAGCCTGCGGTGGAAGAAAATGTACCTGCCGTGGATGAGCAATTCAATAGCCCTGCAGTGGAAGAAAATTTGCCTGCTGCAGAAGGCGTGACAAAAGACTCCAATGATGGGTCCACTCCCATGAAGGGAGAAGTGTTGCCGTCTGGAAGCTCGCCGGAAGTCGACACCGAGCGAACTGCAGCAGATGAGGCAAGGCCATTGGCTGGAAAAAAGGAAGGTCCTGAGCCCCTGGAGCACAAGATGGATGATCTTGTGGGACTCGTGCAGGAGCAGGACGAGCAGTGTGATCCAAAGGTGGAAACAAAGGATGTGCCAGGAGCCGATGATACAGAGATGGTTTCTGAAGAGCATGCAAAGAAAGTGCCCCGAGCGGGAGCCTTGGAATCACCTGGGGAACATTGCTATCAAGAGGGAGATGAGATCAGTGGTCTAGTGCGCTGCATCAATGGGTATGGAGCCTTTTTGGACCATGGTGATGTGAATGTATTGGTTCCTGCAGAAGGGAACAACGCACATCAGTTCAAATTTGGTGATACTGTCAATGGAACAGTGAAACGAGTGGAAGATGATGGTACCATAATCTTGGACACCTTTCTGGTTTTGGAAGAGGACGAGGAGGACTCTTCATCGACGCTGCGCAAATGGAAATCCAGCGGCTGGAGTACGTGGTGGACAGATTCATGGTATGAGGGTCAATGGTACCAAGATTCCAACAGTCAATGGGACTGGAAACGGGAGGAAGAGCAATCCGATGAAAGGGTTGCTGATCAGGAGTTATCCTCAGAAGAACAAGAGGAAAGGCAACTTTATGGAGAA